AGCCAAGTTTTATTTTTAAAAAGTCTCCTTCCGCAGGTGTTCCAGGTGCAGCGGGAGGCTTTATTTAATAAGAGCGAGCGTCAGGTGGCTGAATCCCAGCTGGAGACCGTTAAAAAGCAGCTGGCGGATCTTCAGGCCGAGTCCACCCACATCCACCAGCTGCACCAGGACATCCAGGACTCACAGGGGCTCATCAAGGAGAAAGACCGCAAGGTGTGAGGGAAAAAAAGTTGGGCTGCATCCGAATATTCCTACTTCCATACTATACAAACTGTAGTATGTCCAAATTCACAATATTCATAAAACAGTAGGCAATAAGTACCTGGATGTTTTCCAGTGGGACTCTGAAGTGCATATCTAATGGACACTTGACTATCCCATCAAGCCACAGGAGAGGAGTTGTGAATAGAATGCAGCAGTCGGGTTCTGAAAGTAAATCCATTGTTAATCAATGCATTATATGCATTTGTTGAAGTCATCATTTCACATTATTTCAAAATATGCAAAATGTTCAATATTGGAATTAGTGGTGAAAAACTACATTACCCATAATTCTGGAAAAAACTCCACCAATCAGAGAATCACATCAAGTAAATTGCATCAAAATAACACTTTAGCGCCTCTCCATTCCCATGGATCACCATGAATGATGCAAAAATCCATTATATGGAGATGTGATTCTTTTTCAGCTTTCTTACCGTCTCCCTGCAGATCACAGAGTTGTCTAAGGAGGTTTTTCGTCTGAAGGAGGCTCTGGGGGCTTTGACACCTCCGCAGGGACGTTCCCCTTCGCCACCGTCCTCAGGGATACCTGGACAACAGCTGGCACTGCAGAACCGTGTGACCGCATTAACACAGCAACTCCAGGTGAACATATTCCTCCTCGCTTTATCAGCCTTATTGATAAATACACGCTTAAAAATAAAGGTTCTTTATGGGCATTGATGGTTCCATGCGGAAGCTTTAAGATCCATGGAACCTTGCACAAAAGGTTCTTTATAGTGGAAAAAGATTCTTCAGATTTTTAGAATGTTCTTCACATGAAGAAACTAACATTTCTTGTAAGAGCTATTCAAGGTAAGGTTCTTTGGGGAACCAAAAAAAGTTATTCTGTGGCATTGCTGTGAAGACCACCTTTTGGAACCTACATTTTTAAGAGTGTAGAAGAACCATTTTTGATTCCCTAAAGAATCTTTCAGTGAAAAGAACCAAGAACATTTTAATAATCTCAACAACCTTTTTCCACTGTAGATAACCTTTTGTGGAATGGAAAGATTCCATGGATGAAGGTTCTTCAGGGAACCACCAACGCCAATAAAGAACCTTTTTTTTTAAGTGTATACATTTAAATGAATAACACACATCTAAAGTCTTTCCTTTAATCTTGTTCTTAGGACTGGGAGCGCAAACACAAGGCTGTTGTTTCAATATATCGTTCTCATCTATTAGCTGCTGTACAGGTGAGAACCGTAAACCCAACCGTACATCTACAGGAACATCTTATATTACACTTATCTATGTGACTGTTTTTGACTCAACAGGGCCGGATGGATGAAGAAGTTCAGGCGCTTTTGCTTCAAATCCTCTGTATATCACAGAAAGGTCAAAATTAGTGCTTTGTAACTGACAGTAATACAAAGAGTTCAAGTGACTGCTAAACGTACCCTTGAACCGAAGCATATCACCACTGTGTACCGCCAATGAGAGGCATTGAAACTGTGAAGGAGAAGATATAGTTTTGGAACATGACAGAGATGATTATATTTCCTGTATGTGACCATTTATGAGGGACAACACAGATACTTTTGTACCACATTTCAATAAACACTAAGAAATGCTGCTGACGTGCCTTTCTTTGCAACTCTGCAGTTAGGCCTCTCACAGTACTGTATGTCAAAATTTACTTTGTGGTAAAAAAGAACGTTATGATGAATTTCCGTGGTGCTAAAAAGATGTGTAGCACACCACAGGTAATCTGTCTATTTCAAACTCGGCTGGTATACAGGACTCGCGCCTACACATGTTCTCACCACAAACAGCTGAGCACGTCTGTTAGTACAGGTTTCCTTTCTTTTTCTAATCAGAGTAATATTTCATGTAAAAATTCAAATGTGTCATGTCGATTGAACCTGTATTATTCTTTCTTCTGTTAAAAAACAAAAGATGCTTGGCAGAATGTCCAAGTTGCTCTTTTCCATACAATGAAAGTGGATGGTGATACACTACTACCATTCAAAAGTTGATGATTTTTTTTTGGAAAGAAATTATACTTTAAGCAAGGATGCATTAAATTGATCAAAAGTGACAGTAAAGACATTTGTAATGTTGCAAAAGATTTAAACTTCAAAAATTTGTATTATTTTGAATTATCTATTCAACAAAGAATTCTGAAAAAATGTATTATGGTTTCCACAAAAATATTAGGCAGCACAACTGGTTTCAACATTGATAATAACAAGAAATGTTTCTTGAACCCAAAATCAGTATATAAAAATTATTTCTGAAGGATCATGTGACACTGAAGACTGGAGTAATGATGAAAATGCAGCTTTAAATCACAGGAATAAATTAAATTTATACATGTATTAAAATAGAAAAGAGTTATTTTAAACTGTAATAACATTTCACAATGTTACTGTTTTATTGTAATTTTGATCAAATAAATGCAGCCTTGGTGAGACTTCTTTTAAAAGCATAATAAATAAATATCATTGACCACAAACTTTTGAATGGTAGTGTACAATGCTAAGCTCTCAAAAAAGACAAAAAGCATTATAAAAGTAATCCATATGACTCGTGACCAGCATTGCAAGTCTCGCATCTTTTAAACAATGACAACATTTTCATTTTGGGAGTACTGTCCCTTTAAAAATAAACCAAACATTTCCTTGTACTTTCCCCTTCCTGTTCAGTTTTATTGAGAATGCTTTTAGAGCATAGAGGAACAACATCCTAAGAAAGTGAAGTAAGTGGTTTTTAGTGGTGGCAAGGTGGTCTAGAATACCTGGAGAAAGTTATCCGTTAACATTCCCATTTATCTCAATGTCAGTTGCTAGACTGGAGCAAGAGCCCTGTAAGTATGTGTTTTGAAATATTGGTGATTTATATGTTGTTTGCAAAAACTCATGGCTACTTTTAAATGGTTGTCAGTGGATAAAGATGCTTTTTGGACCCAAATGGTACAGCTGCAGCATCTACCAGTAGGCACTAACTGAAATTTGCTAACTGGCTAAACCCTGACTCACTATTCCTCCTATTTCTGCCATATCCTAATATTGCTGAAAATGTAAGAGCAGTATGTTATTCCAAATTCAGCTGCTGACATACTTTACACAAGAGCTTCATAAGTGAAACTAGGATGCAGTAAGAATGAATAAACCCCAAGTAAGTGGAAGGACGTTTTTGAAGTAAAAAATAAAAATATTTAAGGCACTGGAATCTTCTTTTTGGATAGTGGGGAAGACAAAGAAAATTAGTTTCTTTATACACTGTAGTGAGTCAAACTCTTCTTTTTATATAACCAGAATATTTGAACATTTATAGAGGCAGGTTTCTTCAGAAAGCAGCTTTTAGGTTGAAATAAGATGGTTTGACATTACAAACTACTTATTGAAATGTATAAAAATGTTTGTGGTTGACTTTTGTGTCCAGATCAACAGCAAAAGTATATATATGAGGACTTTGAAGGTGCATTCAGTAGCTAGCTAGTGCTAGCATTGCTGTTCGTGTACTTAGCCACAATGGTGTTAAGTGCTTTTTCTTGTCATCAAATCTTTCCACTTTGTGTATGTCAACATGGTTTGCACTTGTTTTTTTTCTTTGGTCGTACAGGTAGGAATTCTTCTGTTGTCTTCACTGGGAGAACACAATAATACGTTTAATTGTCTAATTTTCACTCTTCGCGTCACCAGACTACACTTCGCTACTAGCATATCTATAGGATTGTGAGGATTCTCTCACATTTTAGGGTGTGTTCACATTGAACATCAAAATTGCAGTCATCTGCATAAGAATCAGTGCAGTATGGAATTTTGCATGAGGGACGCATTAATGAATTAGTACCAAAATTTTGTGGGAAAAATTTATGATTGTCAATAGCGTAGAGATGTATGAAGCACATAAGTCATTTTTAAACCAAGCAGTTTTTTGTTGGTCAATCTGCATGACCAGAAACCCATGTGGGGAAATGTGTGCACGAATTTAAATGAATATAATTATTTGGGCGAGTAGATTACATAGAAAATCAATGAAAAGACGCAAATAGATGTGAATTCGCAATTTGCTGTTCAATTCGCAAATTGCTGCTCAGTTGCATCTTCCGCAAAAGTTGAAAAATTTTTGAGCGGGAAATTAGCATTATGCGTTGTCGCGCAAGCCAATCAGCGAAGAGTTTATTGACATGTCTGGTTTGATACGTCTGGTTGTATCAGAAAATGGAGGAGAGCATTATTATGTTTATATTCGCGCAAATAATGCAAAAAACACCCCGCGTGTAATCTAGAGTGAGTAACCTAAATTCACTTCGCTTTTGGTGTGCACACACCATTACACTCTCACATGAAATTCCTGATCGTACAGATTCCTATTGAAATGACTAGATTTCGCCCGCTAATTTTGGCGAACTTTGGTAAATGTCTCGCACCTTGAGGTGAAACATTTCCCCATGGAAATTTTGCATCGTATTCAAGATTGTTACGTAAATTGGCAGCTTGTTTGTCAGGTGGTAGTTGATCAGGTGAATGGATTCCTATTGAAATGACTGTACTTCACCTATGAAAATTCGCTGAACCTTGGCAAACGTGACCACACGCTGAGGCTAAATATTTCCCAGCGCAGATTTCGCATCTGATTCAAGTTTGTACGGTTGCAAATTCGCCACATTTAACAAAAAAAGCTGCTTAGTTTGGAAGTGACCTCTGAATAAGCGGTGCTTCATCCATCACTACACTATTGATAACGGACAGCAGACCTTCTTTGTTTTTTAATCTTATGTTTTGCTAATGTGACCGTTTTTATTTGATTTTTTTTTTTTTTTATTGGCACCAAATTACTGAATGCACCTTTAAACGAAACTGTGCACATTGTGGGCATTTGTTTGTGACTAAACACAGAAGAGAAATGGAATATTTGTGAAGTATAATGCATGTCTGAATCACTAAGTTTTAAAAAAGGGCAATATCACATGAGAACGACCCAAACATTTGGTCCCGAGTTCATAAATTAAACATGTGCATTTGACACGACTGCATTAGTGCGACTGAGCTTATGAGCTTTATATAACGTCCTTAACAAATACTGAATCCTGAGAGCAAACCGTTGGTATGCACAACACAATGATGTCCAAAGTCTCAGAGGTGACCATCAGAGAAGATCAGAGCCACGGTTACTCAATACATCACATTTAGAAACAGCTCACTGACGACGAGTGCTCGTATGGATGTAAAGGATAAGATGGTTTGTCTTATGTGTTTCTCCTAAGTTCACATTTCAGGCAATGCCAAGAACAGTCTGCTGGGAAACTCAGTGATCACAAGCACTTTATTTCCCAATGCCAAACTCTCAGTTGGGGTCTTCTCTGTTGAAGAAGGTGTTGATTGAGCAAGACATGCTGAAAGCTGTTTGTGGTCAGTGCCGAAGGAACAGCGATATCCCACATGTCCCAGTGGAAGCTCAGAGTCTGTTTAAGGCAATAGTGTTATTGGGCCTCTAGATTGGCGGCACAGGTGACGGCTATGCACCCTAAAAAAAAAAAAACAATACTATAAATCACCCAACCAAAAAGCTTTGATAATCTATAGAAACATACCACAAACCTCTTACCATGTACTCTATATGGGCTTCAAATGGAGGTCAGTTCTTTCTGCAGACCACCTGCTGGAGGTGTAACTCGCTCTCTGCAGCAACAATCGGCAGCTTGTTTGTCAGGTGGTAGTTGATCAGGTGGCTGATGCTCTCGAAAAGCATGTCTTTAGTCCGAACCTAATGAAAAATGAAATGAAAATGAAAAACAGATCATATAAGTAAAATGTGAATTCTTGTGGTTTAAGGGTGTTTTCATAATTGGTTTGATGGTTCAAAGTTTGATTATTTGGCTTTGCGAACTCAACTTTTTCATAATAATAATAAAATTTTCTTTTGTTTTAAATTATTTTTAACTATTTTTTAATTTTTCACTTTCATTTTTAGCACATGTATCTGTTCATTCATCAATTAAATATTAAATTATTAGATAAATATTTAAATTAAATATTATTTCAACTTTATTTTCACTGACCTTATTGCTGTATTATGTATGTGCTATTCAAAAAAAATTTTTTTTAGCAATAATAATAAAAATTCCTCTTTTTTTATTTTTCACTCTTCAGCATTTTCATCTGCCATATTTTTGTTATTTTTTATTTTGTTTTGTTTTTCTAAAATAATATAATTGCTATATAAATATTAACATTTATTAATATTATTATTATTATCATCACCAACAGAATTATGACAGTCAAGCACTCATTAATAGTCATTAATTTGCGAATCAGTCTGGATTGCTTTCATACCAGTTGCAAAATATACTTTGATTCCACATACCTTTACACCATACCCCTGATCCTCCTTTTGAAGAGAACTTGGGGGTTTCATTGATTATATTGTGAGTTGGGAAACACCCCTGGAAACCCAACTTTGACATCAAACTAGCTCCTCATCAAAATCTACAGTATGAAAACTGAGCTTGAAGCACCACTCACCACTCCTTCAGGATCCACCAACAGCAGATGTTTGGGAAGCCCACACTGCATCCCAGTCAGCACATACTGGCCCGGGTTAGTGGCGCTGTCCCGCACCAGAAAATCTCCATCTCGGCCCAGCAGATTCTCTGCGTCCCTGCGGCTCATGCGGCCGTGATACCACATCTCCCGCCGCAGCTGGTCCTCTGTGGGGGCCACGGGGGCCCGGCGCCGTGGGGGACTCGGCCACTTGTCCTCCAATACACAAACTCCACTGGCCTCGTGTAGACGCAGGGCGTCCTCAAACGGTCCTGTGAGGTTAAAAACAGTAGGATTTGTAGGATGAAATGACTTGAACACATTAATCAAACATATATATTCTGATAATACAGTCATTTGTTGTGGACTCACTCATATCAAAAATGTCTTTCTTTGGACTGTCGGGTCTACGTCCTCCTCGGGCATCCGCTAAGGTCTCCTTGTTGTCCAGATTCTGGGTGTTTACGTACAGGTGTTCCTCATAATTGCGGCTACCTGGAGGATGGCCGTCTGCTCGCAGGTAACCATCGGAAGTCAAACCTACAAAAGTGACCAAAGAAAAATAAACAGATAACTAAACTCTTCAAAATAAAGGTTCTTTATTAGCATTAATGTATCCATGGAGAACCTTTAACATCTATAGAACCTTTCTGATGCAAAAAAAGTTTCTTTAAGTGGATAAAGGTTCTTCAGATTATTAAAATGATCCTCACACAAAGAAAAAAAATGGTTCTTTTAAGGACTGTTCGCTGAAAGATTCTTTGGGGAACCAAAATGGTTTTTCTATGGCCCTTCAGGAACAGGTTTGGACACCCCTTTTCTATGGCATTGCTGCAAAGATCCTCTTTTGGAACCTTTATTTTTAAGAGTGTAATTAACTAAGCAATTAGTAGGGAACATCTGGAATATCAGACCCAGTCAAAGGCTCAGAAATCACTTCAAAGCACCAAAACATCAGACGAGTAACATAATACTGATGATTAACCACCAGGCGTCTCACTTGAGCTGTCCCAGTGCACTTCATAACACAAGTGGGTGGCAGGGAGGCTGCCTGCATCTCTTTTGGCCGGTGACCCCACCTGAAAAAAATAAGCACAGGTCTGAGATCAGGCTTTGTTCCAGGCATGAGTACAGCACACTTGTATATATAAATATATAAAGATGATGATGATAAATAGATAGATAGATATTTGCCTGAAGCAATAAGCATTATGCTAACAACACTCTAAAGAAGTTTATTAAGACCAGCCTTAGTGAATTCTCTCCACAAACCACAAACCACTTCATGCTGTTCATGACACACATAAAGGCAGCAATAAAATCCACAGACATCTATAATAAAGTCTACATAATAAAGTTTACCTGAGCGGTTTTGCTCTGTGGTTGCGTATGGACGTGACCCAGTAGGCCCGCAGGAGGCCTGAGCCTAGAGTCCACCACTCCCCCAACAGGAGGCTCCTTTCCTGGTATGCTGTTGTAGTAATCGTGCTCAGATGATTCCTCGTCATCACCCCATGCCGACTCCTCTGTTCGTATGGTCCTAACCATTAAATAAAGCTATTTAGCATCTTAGTGATCAGTGAAAAAATAAATGTATATTTAATATGAATATATAAATCATAAATATATTTTAATTCGGTAACAGAAAACAGTTTATCTAGTAGTAGCTACTTAAAGCTGAGGTGACATCTGCCGTTGTTCTGAGTGAGCAAAATCCAGTCATTTTAATAGCAATTGGGAATTTCGTGTGAGGGTGAATGATTTCCCCACGGGTTCAAGTTGGTCACGCAAATTCACCAAATTAACCAACAGAAAGCTGCTTAGTTTGAAAGTGACTTTTGTGTGAGATGTGCTTTATACATTGCTACACTGATTACAATAGACATTTTTTTGTCTGTGAAATTTCACTAATGTGACCGCACCGTTAGATTTTGATATTGTTAGCTTAGCAACATGCTAACAGCACACAGAACTGTTACCTAAGTAGAGCGGTTCACATGAGTCACATTACTTCTATTTTGGTTAGGATGCTGCCTATATAGGGAAGAAGACTACAAGGCAGCCCACTGTGTTTTGGAACACAGTTTATATTAAAGACAAGAAAGCACATGCAACAACTATGATTTGAAACAGACCAAAATGAAAGAAATTATCCATTACTGATGTGACACTGAGCAGTCGTGTGGTTTCTGAGAGCCCCTTAAATGAATTTAGCTTTAAATAACGGCCTGGAATCAAAACAGGATGGCTATATGAAACACAAGCCGTGTGTATCCTGTTTCAACCTTGCGAAAGCTGCTCAGATCTGAAGCTCAACATTAACTGCAGGTGAAACTAGGAACTACCATCATTTTCATGTTGTGATGCATTCAGAAGCCCAAACAGACAATATGGTTTATGCGAAATTATGTGAATCTCACCTATCCATGGTGGGAATGGCTTTGGGCGGGCTGTGTAGGTACTGTTTGAACTGCAGTTCGAAGGCCTGGCCGATGGTACTGATCACATTCTGGGCGAGACCGTCACAGCACTCCAGGATGTGACATGCTAGAGGGACGAGAAAAATGTAACATTGTTCACATGTGAGAAATCTAGCCAAAATAATATGTAACACAAACAAGACAGAAAATCAAATTGAAATAGGATTCTTTGCATAATATGCATGAACAATCAAATATAAAATGAATAAAATATTTAAAAAATGTATATATAAATAAAAAAATTAATACGCATACAAATAAAATGTATTTAAAAATTAATCTAATAATTAATATAAAAATACCTCTTTGATTGACAGGGTCTTTGGCTACATAAGCGACGTAATCTGGTGTATCCTGCAACACAAGATGAAATCAGAGTGAGAATCAGGTAGCATTTGTTAATGGAGAGGAAAATGATAAGAGCAGAAAGAAGAGGCATTAAACATGCAGAAGAGGCCTCACCGAGTCTCCACCAGAGGCGAAAGATATGGACTGCATGGGGTGATGGGCAATCACCTACGTAAAGAGATGAGAGTGAGAAGATGTGGTGTTTCAATTCAAATCAATATTCAGCACTTATAAAAAAAATTTATCTGTCAAGGAACTACAAGAGTTCTGAAGCTACATAAAGGGGCAATATCTTTTTAAATAAATAACTATCCAATAATATATTTCATAATTTAATCCGAGCCCTAATTTTCTGGCACAAAAGCAGTTAGGGTTTCGATTAATTAACTCAATTAGTCAGACTTAACCGACAAATGTATAACTAAATTTAAAGGGGTCATATGATGTTATTTCAAGTTTTCCTTTCTCTTTGGAGTGTTACAAGCTGTTCGTGAATAGATAAGATCCCTAAAGTTGCAAAGACTAAAGTCTCAAACCCAAAGAGATATTCTTTATAAAAGTTAAGACTGGTCCATGCCCTCCTAAAACGCCTCGTTTAAACACGCCCCCACATGTCTATGTCACGATGTGGGAAGATTTGCATAACACCACCCAAATGTTCACACAAAGAAAGAAGGCGTAACTTTATTCTCGCTGTTATGGAGGACTGTTTCCTGATCCTGGTAGAGTAGACTACAATGCCGGCTGTTCTGACTCACAGACTGTAAGTACGTCTTCATATTTAAAGAATTTGCCACTGATGAATCAAATGCGAGTTTTGAGCAGTGTAGAGTAGCGCTTGTTGTTGTTCTTTTTAGCAACATCATATGACCCCTTTAAGCAGCTTAGTCAAAACATAGAACTCTTTACTACAGTGCTGCAGAGGAACTTGATTCAGTGAATCATTTATGAACAAATCTGAATCTATTCATCCAAACCAACTAAATCATTAAAATGAATCAAACTTTCCAAAGCTACACAAGTGAGAAAAGTTGTTTGTTCTGATATGATTTGGAGGCCAACCTGTCGTGTGGTGGGGACGAGTAGACTCAAGCCGTCAATGGAGATGTTGACACCGATGCTCATTCCAGCAAAACGCAGGTTACTCTTCCCCATGATAGACTGGAGGTTTTTATTGGTGGCCTAAAATGGGCAGCAAAACAAACATTTGAATGTCACTACATTTTCATGATTTACGCTTAATAATAAAAAAAAATTACAAGACAATGACCATTTTCTCTCTTACTTTCTTCTTCCAGGCAGCTTTTCCTCCGGGTACAACTTCACACAACCTGTTGATGGACTCCCTGTGTTCACACACACATTTACAAAGATAAAGAGAACTATTAGAGTGGTATTACCAGATATCGCAATCTCACATATCTGGAAAACCCATAATAAACAATTTCCCATGTGTATCAGTGTGACCACAGTTTGAAAATGAATGAGGAATGAGTGTGAGTCTAAGAATAATGCTTATTCAAACCAGGTCAATAAAGAGGGACTCAGTGTATTTTAAGTGCATAAAATAATAAACAGATAATAATAATAAAAAACAAAGAAACAAAGCAAAGAAAAAAAGGCAAAACCAACCAAAATGCAATAAATAATTAAACAAACAAACAAATACATACATGTATGTAAATTAAACAGAGCAAAAACTGCAATAAAGCAAACCAAACAAAACAAAACAAAATAAAACCAAAACAAAACAAAAAAACGAATTCTAAAATTGTTGAAAACACTTTTGAAAACCCCTAAACCTTGGCAATAGTGATGTACACCTAAACACGTCTAATCAAAACTGTGTCATTTGTGAAACCATATCAATGACTGTGGAGCGTTTGGCACAGGGGCACAGGGGCACATGGGTTGCGAGGTCAACAGCAGCTGAGTGACTTCGAAACACCAGCGTACTATCAAATAACCCATTAATATTTTAAAAGTGCCAAGGACTTTTCAGGGAAAGATTTGCAGTTCAAAGTGTTATTTTAATAATTTGCATTTGGGTGTTTTTGTTGCAAGATTATGCGCCTGTGTGTGTTTTGCTTCTTGGATCTTATAAAAAATAGCTCACTGGCCACACTACATGACAATGACAAATGAGAGAGCCCACCCACACTCCCTCTTTCCCCGGAGCGCCGCAAATCAGCTGATTTACAAGCCATCCGTTTCTGCTGCAAAATAGATTCTGGCTAAATATGCAGCCTGTTCCAAGCATTCCCATTATAACCATTATAATGTCATAACAGACTGCCACTCTCTACTCAAAACAATCACTCTTCTCCAGTCCTCCGTGTTTATCAACTCTAACTCCACCCCATGCAGTCTGCATCATCTTGGGCCCCAGTAGGCCTCCTCAGTCATTAGTGGGAGCGGTTAATAATACACGGCTGTGTCACTCCGTCTCCATCTCGCCTGTGCTATCTCCACTTTAAGCCCATCGTGGGCCGTGGGGTTCGGGTTACTACTGATCGATGAGCAAGGGCAGGGAGACGGACTCCGCTGTTGCCCTTGGGAATCTGGAGCTCCACCCCACTGTCCCCTACAAGAATGCACATGCTTCTACACACATAAATAAATATATACATAAGAACTAATGCAAGCTTGCTGACATATGAATGAATGCACACTTACATACATGCAAACATGATTTGGCACACCAAAAATGAGCTGCAAAATGATAATCTATTGCTTCTGTGGAAAGTATATCACTCAAAAATAGCATAATGTTCATTCGTCAATTTATAAACAGAAAACATTCAAAATCATTCTCAAAAACAAAACAAAACTAAACAAAAAGTTACAAACATGGAAGCTGAGATATTTGTGATTTTAAAAAATTAGAAAACGCTAAAATAAACAAAGCAAAGAAAATAATAAAACAAATACATATGAAATAAACAGAGCAACATCAAATAAAATAAAATAATAAAATAAAATAAAATTGCGAGTTATAATAGTTAGAAAATTCTAAAATAAAAAGTTTGAAAATTGTAAAATAAACAAAAAGAAAATTTAAAAAAAAAAGAATAATAAAATAAAATAAAAATCAAGGAAATTGATTCAGCTCAGCAAAGCAAAAATCAAAAATCAAAAACAAAAAGCAAAACAAATCAAATCAAATCAAAACAAAAAGAGGTGAGGAGCGTAATAAAACACAAATATATATAATAATAATAAAAAACAATAAGCAGAGTGAACCAAAATAATAACATCATTTTGGGGGGTGTGGAGGGGTATTTGTGTACAACTAAGAAACTACTAAAAATATTGTTCTTAAAACTTATCTAGGTTTAGTGCAATCCAAACAAAAAACACTTTTACCTTGTGACTTGTGTCCTAGTGCTGAAGTCCAAAGATCTCATTGATTTCAGAACCTCAATGCAGCCCATGTACTGCAAAATAAAAAAGAACAAAAAAAAAAAGAAAAGAATAATTAGTTTTAATTTCCCAGAGGTCAACATTGATTCATGGAAATATGAATCTAATTCCTGTTGGCTAGAGCCAGAGTCCATGATTTAGTTGCTGAAAACAAAAGCAACAATTGTCTCTCTCACACACACACAAGGATAGTTTAAGCACATTCATGGCAGCAGGGTGCATCCAGTGTTGTATACGCACCTTTAGCGTAACGGCGCATAATTACAGATAAATACTAAGTGTATAATTTCAGCAAGACAGCTTGTTCTCAGCAGTTCTGAAAAAGACAGCATAATAGCTGTGCTGGGGAAGGTAATTACTGCAAAGTGTAAGGAGATTGATGGCAATAACCGCATCATGGCTGGTGGGGGTGGACTGGGTAAGAGGTATTACTGCAGTCTGGCCCTTCTGGGATGTGGAAAGTGCTCTGACGAAGGTGTAGGGGAATATCCATTTAGCAGTTAGTCACTCACTAATGCGTTCAAAAGGGTCGCAGGAACATTGCGCAAGATGCCCACCCCCACATTGACAGTGCGACATACAGTGGTGTGAAAAAGTGTTGGCCCCCTTCCTGATTTCTTATTTTTTTGCATGTTTGTCACACTTTAATGTTTCAGATCATCAAACAAATTTAAATATTAGTAAAAGATAACACAAGTGAACACAACATGCAGTTTTTAAATGAAGGTTTTTATTATTAAGGGAAAACAAAATCCAAAACTACATGGCCCTGTGTGAAAAAATGTTTGCCCCCTTAAACCTAATAACTGGTTGGGCCACCCTTAGCAGCAACAACTGCAATCAAGCGTTTGCGATAACTTGCAATGAGTCTGTTACAGCGCTGTGGAGGATTTTTGGTCCACTCATCTATGCAGAATTGGTTTAATTCAGCCACATTGGAGGGTTTTCGAGCATGAACCGCCTTGCCACAGCATCTCAATAGGATTCAGGTCAGGACTTTGACTAGGCCACTCCAAAGTCTTCATTTTGTTTTTCTTCAGCCGTTCAGAGGTGGACTTGCTGGTGTGTTTTGGATCATTGTCCTGCTGCAGAACCCAAGTTCGCTTCAGCTTGAGGTCATGAACAGATGGCCGGACAGTCTCCTTCAGGATTTTTTGGTACACAGCATTTATCACAGCAAGTCTTCCAGGTCCTGAAGCAGCAAAACAGCCCCAGACCATCACAAATAAGAAATCAGGAAGGGGGCCAACACTTTTTCACACCACTGTATGTCTGAATAACAGTGTTGTGGTTACGGATGCTTACAGAGGATAATCCCAGATCATTTTTGTTGTCTTAGGCTTGGTAAAGGATTTCGGAGGCTTACACCCACCTCGACCCAAAGCACAGATCATGTGGCCTACAGTTGAGTCAAAGTGGTTACATAGTCATTACAGTTAGAAACATAAGTTGGAGTAAAGCACTAACTTAAAGGGATAGGTTACAGCACTGGAGCCCATTGACTTCCAGAGTATGTTCCACAGAATAAAGTCATACAGGTTTGGAATGACATGAAGGTGAGTAAATGAACTCATTTTGAACTACTGAGTGAACTAAAACTTTAAGACACTAGTTCTTGCTGTTTTTGTTCCTGAAATCAACATCCTCTGTGTTTTCTTCTTCAACAAATATAAGAGAGCTTTGGGGAAGTCCCAAGAACTGATTATGAATTTGAAACTGTACTGTATGAATATAGATCAGTCGCTGTAACACTACATTCACGCTTTCTGCACTCACTCCTTTTGTCTTAAAGGGACAGTACACCCAAAAATGAAAATTTCCTCATTTACTGACACTTATGTTGTTCTAAACCTTTCTTCTTACTTCTCTGGAACACACACACAAGATATTTGTTTAAACAAAAAAAGAATTGCTTGGTTATACAATAAAAGTCAATGGGGTCCAAAATAAATATAACATAACATAACATAACATAACATAACATAACCTTGGGTGTACTGTCCCTTTAGTTAGTTTAGTTGTTTTTTTTTCCAGAGTATATCTTAACACCAGCCCATTTCTTTCCAAGCGAGCCATTGCAGAAATCTTAACTAGATTAGCCGGCAGCGGGAAGTCTTCAATCAAGTGTGATTAGACTTCTTCCTTTTATATTTTACCGAAACTCTCATGCTTCCTCTTCTTCTCAAAGACCTCACTGACTCTCCTCATAGCAAAAAAATATATATATATCACAATAATACACCATCCACCACTACAACATGTGACATCACTGAATCGCTTGATCACACCTATTTCACCTAGTTCACACCTAAGACAGGGAAGGCACAGGAAATGTTTGCACTGGAGGAAATGACCAGTGAGGTTATATAAAAGGAGAAACTTACAAAATCTGTGGGGGCTGCTTTTAAATTTCTGTTTCTTGTAGTCTTCTGTTCTTATAAAGTTATTTTGTTCTCATCTAGGAATGACTCGAATTAGTCTAATCTTGAAGAAACAACTTATTCACCAATGTAAATACAGATTGGTATTTTTAAAAAAGACTTTGAACGCTTTTACGTATCTAGCCGCTAGCATTTCATCGCCCCAGTAAGATGAACAATAAAAGAAAATGCAGGCCTAATCTAAAACCTCTTTGTTTGTGGTGTACCAATGTGCCACAGCGTTATTTGCCTAACAGCCCTCCCTCCATGCCTGTTTCCTCTGCAACACATGTGATACAAATGACTGTGATTAAATGTAATTGAATAAACGAATGAATGGTGCCAGTGTAATGCAATTAAGGAGTGTGCGCAGGCCTAGTCTGGGCTGTTGGAGAGAGGGTCGTGTGGTTACAACACACGGCTGGGTGGAAGAGAGTGCAGGGTGGAGGGGTGAGAAACTGGGTTGAGGGAGGATCGCTGTTATTGACGTCAAATAGTCTGCCAACATTTGTAACCCTTGATTCACCAAGATGCAGCCCAGAGCAGAAGATACTGGCTTATAACCACAACATCTACCAAACTGCAAGAGTAGTTAGCCTTTAGTAGTTGGTTAGCCTATTGTCAAAATGTTATTACAGACATTTCTAGCAAAAGTAAACAAAGAATCAAGCATATTGTGAATAAGTTTTGAATGTTTTTAATATTCAACATGAGCTAAAAAAAAAAGGTCAAATTGAACATTCTGCCTTAACTTTAATTGCAATTTCATTATTATTCCTAAGCGAAAACACATGCAAATAAGGATCTGTATTGAAGGGAAAATTCAGGAATTGCACAAAAGTCCATCTTGGGATCAAATATAAATTTTATGAACAGCCATCACTCATCTTCAGTCATAAACAATAAGACACCCCTCCGCCTCCCTTCAATTCTAGTTTAGTTGTTTACATCTGCAGTTTGTATACCCACGCCTGCCCCCTGCTCTGATGCAGTCGCTGTACCACACAAAGCAATATATCTGGATTAAATTATATATTCCTCCTTTCTCCTCAAGCAATTGCACCCTGACATAACCAATACACTGCAGAGGATAGAGCCCCATTGTTCTCATATCATAAGCAGTTTTGCCTGAACTCAGCTTCTGAAAGGACAAGATGTTGCAGTTGTTTATACAGTAAGCTGCAAGGGGATATCAAGTCATATAGCTCTCAGCTTCTTCAGAGCTGCATAAGATGGTGCAGTGAATGTAAATGAATGACTATTGATAATGCTACAGAGTTGACACCGCTGCAGAGCTGCAAAACAACATTAGGCGGAAAGCACGTGAGATTTCGAGATGATAAGTAGGTGACTCACCCTGACGATGTACGAAGCCCCCGTGCTGCTGATCTTTTTGTCTGGGTGCAACCACCCCTGCGAGGGCTTGTTGATGAAGCTGCCCTTCTGGGTGAAGTTATCTCCCAGCCACATTCCCTCCACCCTGGTCCTCCGGTTCATCCCGGTCCTGAAGCTCCCAGGACTCCCCTCAGTGGCCCCTGTGCTGGACTCTCTTGGACTGGCCCTCTGCCTCCTGGCGGCCTGTAGGGAACATGGGCCCACACAAACAGGGTCACAGGAGTTGAACACAGCTGCAAGACTAGCCACGGGACCACTGGCGGCAACCGCCCCCCCTGAAGCCGCAGCAGGGGAACTATTGGTCGGAGGCGCCCTGCCGGAATCCTTGCTGGAATTGGAGCTGGAGCTGCTATTGGACGGGCTACGACTGAGCAATGAATTGGAGAACTTCCAATGGGGCATCTTAGGAATGAGCATGCAGAAAGTGGTGGTGCTGTCCTGCTCGCCGTCCAGCCCGGGTGAGTCAGCCAGCACCTGGGCCGAAGGCGGAGGAAGGGCAGCAGTCTCCAGGGGTGGCAGCTCCAAGCCAGGCGTGGACGAGGAGGCCACCGGCGTGGCCACCACCTTCCCGCTCATGGCTAGGCTCTGCATCAGGTCGTCGGAGGAGGTCACAGAGTCGTTCCGGAAGCGGCCATACTTTGGCTTAAGTAGCATGCCCGGAGGAGCGGTCCAGAGCGGAGAGGACAGTGTGGGGAAGAGGGAGGGGAAGGGGGGATGGCTAGGGAAAGGGAAAAGGAAAAATGCAGAGGAAGCAAAGGAGAAATCCACAAGGTTCTGTGCGGACTGAGTCTAGCCCTGCGTCCTCTCTGTCTCTCTATGCTTTCTGACAGTTGCTCTGTCCCTTACTGTGGCTTGCTTAATCCCTCCCTCTCTTCTTCATTCCCTCTCTCTCTTTCTCTCTCAGCCCAGCTTCCCCCACTCTCTTGATGATGTCAGTGTTATGGTCTGTCTATTAGCTCTGCCCAACCCAGCTGCGTTCAGGCAACATTAGCTAATGCACATCTGCCTGAGCACCTCCTTATAGCATCTTGCACTTATTAACCTACACACAATCTGATACATACAAAGCCATTCAGTCCTGCAGCTAGCTACCATACTTTCTCCTTTCCCAGCTTAGGCTGATTCCTCAGAAAGGTGTAAACACTGGCGCTATCAAAACATTACTATTTTTTTAGCATCCCGACAACTGGCCCAACAAGAAAATACTGGTGTGAGTCTAAAATATCAATTATTTTACTAGTTCTGTTTGTTGAGGCTAGTAGTGCATAAATGACACATTTCACTGTTTATGCCATGAGATGAAGTTTTGGCTTGTTAGCATAGCTCTGATATTCCCTGCTGGTGAATGTTGTAACTACATTGTTTGGCAGCAAAAACCTCTTTCTCCGTAGCTATCACTAATAATTTGTTACATTATAGTAGATGTTTTATAGGTACACAATTTCTTTTTGAAGAGAGGGTAAGTTCACCCCAAAATTAAAAAAAAATTTTTTTCATATATTTAAAGTCATTAAGGTCCAATGTTGTCTGGGCCCTAACATTCTTCGAAATATCTTCTTTTGTGTTCCACAGAAGAAAGAAGGGCATGAGGGTGAGTAAATGATGACAGAATATACATTTTTGGGTGAACTATCTTTTTAAAAACATGAAATGAGCTTATAGCTTTAATTATTTGTTGCCTTTCATGTCACAGATCAGGATTTACACTAGTGAAATGCTTTCTTTGGGATTTATATAGACATCAATGATTAATTAAAGCAAAAAATAAAGACCTACTGTACAACATCTCAGATAGTAGCTTGATATTTACATTTACATTTAGTCATTTAGCAGACGCTTTTATCCAAAGCGACTTAGATACATGATACATGATACACAGCATACATACAGTATATGAGTACTCAAGATGTCAAAGCATCATTTACACCAGTTATTATATAATAAATGAACTTTTTAAATACCTCACAACAGCATAACTGGCTTCTCCATTCACACGGAGTTCTTCATATTGCTGCAGTATGGATTATAAAACAATTTTTGAGACTGTCTCTGGTCTGTCTCTCGCTGTTGAAGTCAAGAAACCATCTGAGTTGTCACATTTAAAGGACTTGCGCAAGGCGCTGTGCCTGTTTGACAAATAGTCTCTTCCTTTTACTCTGACGTCACTTTTTTCGCAACTGCCCAAAAAAGTAAATGCAAAGACTCCACAAGGCCAAATAAACAGGAAGCACTAAAATACTCTATATTCCGTTACCGTTGCCTATGTGTACAGACTATTTTGGTGGAAACCTCAGTTTTGTGGTGTTGACAAAGCCTTTAGCTTGCTTTATGACTCACAAGTGCCTTTTTTTCAAGTGTTACATTTTCCTAAATCAACATCTCTTGGGTGACCTCTCAGAGGTGTTGTGCAGAGATTTTGCTGTTTTTTCCATTCGTTACACTGCACATGTAGCTGGGGTAATTTTAGCTTCAAGAATGGGGTCACCGTGACCATTAGCAATTAGTGAGAGTGCACGTTCAGGGTCACGGTCTGGATCAATATCTTTGTTATGAACAAAACCACAGAGGAGAACATAAAAGCAAGACAAATGAAGAAAAAGAGAAAACAATATTACTTAACTCATTTACTGTCTGGTTCTCCTCCGGGAGCCATAAATGCTCAGTTCTGGAGCACTCTGACCCTTTCTTCATATTTCACTGTTTCCCATAGGATGCACCTGTCTAATCTAATCTGATCTAATCTCAGATCTTAGATTAAGTAGATTTAGGGAGTTAAATATGAATTGTCACACTTCTCTAAAATCAACTACATAGATGGGATCTTCGACATGAGGTTCACCAAGGCGTACAGTGAGATCCCAAACTGCAAGATATACATATATATATATATATATATATATATATATATATTTAATAAGAGCATAAAAATCATTTTATAACCATTTCATAACCATTATATAATCATTTTATCACAGAAGCATTCTGACATAAGACAGTTACATATATTCCACAAGAGAAAATATTAACTTAATTTATACATATTATTTTGTTGAAAAGTCTGCATACCTCTCAAGCATTCAGAGCATTGAAAAAAAAAATTTGGTTTAAATTTTTTATATATTTTTTTTATTTTAACTCTTATTTAAAAAAGTAGGGTTTTTTAAATTACATGTGCAATTGTACAATAATATGAATCTAAACACATTTCATTGATTTCTTTTTATTTGATATTTATTTTTTCGAGGCGTACATTGCCGCCTCAAGCATTCACAGCATTGAAAAAAAATTAGGATTTAATTTTTATATATATTTTTTTATTTTAACTCATTTTAAAAAGTAGGGTTTGTAAAATTATGTGTGCAATTGTACATTAATATGAATCTAAACACATTTCATTGATTTTTCTTTATTTGATATTGATTTTTTTTATTTTTAATTAAAACATTTTCAGATTTTTTTTTTTACTTTGAGACTAATACTATATTAATTGATTACAGCATTATCATTAGGCTAACAGCATATATTAACAAAAAATGTAAAAAAATTAAATTAAATAAAAAAAAAAAATCGTTATTATGTGACTTCTCAAGAATATTTGAGTTAATTCATGAATATCCTGTAAAAAATCTGCTGTAGCATATTATCATGACATTAAACATCAAATTGTGGTCAGCGTGGATGAAGGTGCTATATTAATATTTTCTTAAAAATACCACCAAATTAAAATACATCTTCCACATATCAGACACATACCACATCCTCATATAAAGCATTTGTAGCAATGCATCACAAAATACTATTAGATTTTTTACTAAATATAGTAATGTGGAGATTAAAGATTAAAAATATAGATAAAGAGGAAAGCCAATCATAACTCACCAAATGCTGTCTGCTGCAGGTTGCAATGCCAGCCCTACATCAAGCAGCAAAGAAAACATGCAAAAATATGTATTTATATGTAGAGGAAAGCTAAAAGCACATAAGAGTCGCGAGGTGTGAAGTTTGAGCCCAGAGAGTGAGAGAAACCACTTGAACCAAACCAGGAACACACACCATCACACACCTCCTGCAATGACATGCCCAATCAGTTACTGGTTTTCTGGTCTAATGCACTTAACACAAATGTCAATATTTGCGAAGTTGCAAAATGCTTAAACACTCTATACATTTAAGTGTTTCCAAACATGAAAATGATGATAATAATGGTTGATGCTAGCTGCTAAGAGTTCCTGAAAGACGTGAATTGTTTAAGAGTATAAAATGTATATTTTATTCTAACAGACTGTTATATATCGTAGCATTAAAACATGCACAAACGCATTCCTCATTTGAATTCACATCTTGAACAAAAGGTATTACGTGTTACTTGTGAAACGGAAACTTTGTAATTCATTAACAAAAGAGTCACTGAAGTTAACCTTTGGTTAAAGTTCTAGCAAGCCTGATTTGTTTTTTTAAACAACAATAGAGTACCACATAAAAAAGGAATAAATCTGAGAAAAAAAAGAAAAAAAACAGTGGAAGAAATGTGTTCAGAGAAAGTATGATCACTGGATAGGCTACACAACATGACACCAAAAACCACTATGTATACTGCACCAAATAAGCCGTATATTGACACATAAACTGATGACTACAACATTAAAAGATAAAATACAGACAGTAAAGAGGCTTTCTGATGCCTTGCTGCTCTGCTTGATTTTGTACTGCAACAATATGTGCTCGTTGAAAAGGTCACAGGAACACTGTGGTCAAATCAGCAGCCATGACATTAAATGTTATACCATTTGAAAAAAAAAGGGGGAAAAAAAGACGCAAAAAAATGGAGCAAACTTCTGCCACCTCAAACGACTCAATATGAAATGTGGTCATTTTTGTATTTTCGAACGTTCAAAAAGATAACTTACCCTGTCACGACTTTTCATGAACAAAGCTTGAAATACTAACAGGAACTTTTTGATTTGGTGAAATCTTGTTAAAGCACTTCTTTCATACAAGAGTTGCTTAACTCATCCTTTTAACACATGGTCACATTTTCTAGCTTGATAAACTTTTAGTTATGTGTTACGTCGGCGTTTTGCTCTTTGCAAACAGTATCGTGTGAATATCTTGTCACATCATTTTCTAGTATCCTTGCACTTCTCGTGTGAAGTTTTAGGTGGCTTTAAATGCTTGTGACAGAGTTAAAGTTAATAGTCATTTTATAATCACACTGGTCTGATATGAACAGATATGACATTTAAATCATGACTATACTTGAAATAGTGTGTTTTGTAATGTTTATTTCAGTGAAATACTATTCCCCTCAGACTTCCACTGGAAAAATAAGATTTTTATGAACTGAGGGACGGACGAAATTACTTTCTGTTGTAATACAAACTTGTATTTGACCTTAAAATAAAAGTATTTTGGTTTACTGTATATTTGTAATGTTATAGCTATGTAAAACCCAGGATAATACTAATAATGTGAAGTCTATAATTTGCCGTTTGATCATTTGATGTCGAAAGTGCTGTCAAAGACATTTTGGAGTAAAGAAAAGGTTAACACATTTACCACTGTCATATATCACAGAAGGTCATCAAAGAAAATTAGTGCATAGTCTAACTAGCCTATATAAAACACACTCTCTTTAGCATAAACACCACCCTTGGGTTTCACACTTCTGTCCCACACTTATATGTTCACACGGTTAAACTCACCTACATAAAAAAATAAAACGAACAAAGAAAAAAGCTCTACAGTTGAAAAGAAAAACATTTTCTTATATTAAAAACAAGGACACAAACAAAACAAGGCCAGTAAATATCGAACTAGCGCTGTCAAACGCAGCAGGCGTGCGTGGAGGGGGCGGGGCCTAAACGAAGAGCGGCTCACTCAGCCTATCAGAAGCGAGCGAGGGACCGTTTGAGTTCAAAACTGAAGCGGCGCACTCAAGAAAACACCGTGAGCGAGCTTTCCGGGGAGATTTCACTTTGGTTTTTAGCATTTAACCACAATGTCTTCATCGAAAAAGCAGATTTACTATTCCGACAAGTATTCTGACGAGGAATACGAGTACAGGTGAGGAATTTCACTCGTTTAACGGTTCACTTCACTTTCGAGTTAACGCGACACTTAATAATGACCGTTGTAATGACATTTGGCTGGGTCAGTTTTAAAAAAAATCTTTAAAACATCCGCAAGTGATTGAAGACGGTCTGTTTAAAATGTATTTTCCGAGTTCTGTCGTCCGAACAGCGTCATATTGCCTGACAAACAGTTTGAAGAGCTGTTAAGTATTAAATATTAGTCAGTCAAACTAACATGTTGTCCCTCTCCTTCCTCATAGACATGTTATGCTTCCCAAGCAGCTTTCCAAACTGGTGCCGTCCTCCCATTTAATGTCAGAGGAGGAATGGAGAGGACTGGGAGTCCAGCAAAGTCAGGGCTGGATCCATTACATGATCCATAAACCAGGTTAGTAGATACCTGGAGACCAAGGCTGTGTTTAAAACCTACTTTGACAGCTTAATTAACGTTACTGTCTAGGTAAGCAGCTCTGTAACTGGTGAATGAAATGTATCCAAAAACTGCCTGTTATTCTTCTAAACCTTAATCCCACTCTTTCTGTACAGAACCTCACATTCTGCTTTTCCGAAGACCGCTTCCCAAGGAATGAAATGTCAAGATTGTCATCGGAAGTTAAACTACTTGGTTGACTCTGACCATGCATGCATTTCTTTCCATACGTTGTGATTTGTACATAAGTTTTATTATTTGCAGATCTATGGTAATGAAATGTTACTCCTTCCCATCCCCCTTTCATTCGGAGATCTGATGGCAACAGGAGCATAGAGGGGAGCGGGCTGCATCCTCCAAAGTGTTTTCTTTAGATCTGCACTTAAGTTACGTAAAATAAGCTGGATGGTGTTTCAGGTCTAGTAATCGCCCCTGTCCTGAATAGAAGGAATAGTTTTTGTTGTACACTACGATGCTTTCTGTTGCTCAACTGCTGTTGTTAACATCTCCATTTTGTATGTTGAGCAGTCAACGTTTGTTTGTTCCTCTTTTGTCGTTTACAAATCAATAAATATTATTTTTATTAGCTCACTTGCATTCTAATTTGTAGTCAGTGTAATATGGCTTTAAATAATGTACATGATGAATATTTGCATGTTATGCAAAGCAACAGCAAATATTCAGAGTTCTCACTAGGAATTTTTTTTTTTTATTGATATCACACTCAAAAAAATCTAGCTGATATTTTTCTCTTATACAGTGTATAATGTAAAAATTATCAGCAAGATTTTTTGTGAGCATGATACAGTGTGAACAAAAGTTTATGAGCCCCTTAGAATTTTCTATATTTTTGCATAAATATTACCCAAAACATTGATCCAGTGTTACATATCTGTGCAGGGCGAAAGTATGTGAATCTCTGCTTTCAGTATCTGGTGTCACCCCCTTTTGCAGCAATAACTGCAGGTAAACGTTTTTTGTAACTGCTGATCGGTCCTGCACAACGGCTTGTAGGAATTTGAGCCCATTTCTCAGTACAGAACCGCTTCAACTCTGATGTTGGTGGGTTTCCTCCTATGAACTGCTTGCATCAGCTCCTTCTGCAACATTTCAATTGGATTAAAGTCCGGACTTTGACTCGGCCGTTCCAAAACATTAACTTTGTTCTTCTTTAACCATTCTTTGGTAGAACGTCTTGTGTGCTTGGGGTCATTGTCTTGCTGTACGACCCATTTTCTCTTGACATTCAGTTCTCGGACAGATGTCCTGAAATTTTCCTTTAGAATTTGCTGGTATAATTCAGAATTCATTGTTCCATTAATAATTGTTAGCCGCCCTGGACCAGCTGCAGCAAAACAGGTCCAAACCATGATACTACCACCACCATGTTTCACAGATGAGATATGGTTCTTATACTGGAATGTAGTGTTTTCTTTCTCCAAACATAACACTTATTTAAACCAAAAAGTTCTATTGTGGTCTCATCCATCCACAAAACATTTCTCCAATAGTCCTCTGGTTTGTCCACATCAAATTAACTGCTAATCTTAGAGATTCACATACTTTTGCCACTCACAGATATGTAATCTTGGATCATTTTCCTGAATAAATAAATGAGAACGTATACATTTTTGTCTCTTTTGGGTTATATTTATGCAGAAATACAAAATTCTAAAAGGTTCACAGATTTTCAAGCACCGATAACAATAGGATAATTGTAACCGGGGGAATTTTAAATAATTATAATACTTATAATAATTAATTATAATAATAATAATTCCATAATATAGAGCTTTGTAAGAAAAACAAGGCTATGGAAATTGTTTTTTGTAAATGTGAGCTCTGTAAAATTATTTGTATTTTTTCCCCCCCAGTAATTCGGAGTCACTTGATAAGTCACTGAAATTTTTAAAATCTTAAAATTATGGTTAAAGTTGATATATATGCTCACTTTTAGAATATTTAATTGACTACAAATAGCTCTTTGTAAGCATGATCTCGATCAAATTATTTTTAGACAAAAATAATTTTATTTTTAAATGATTCTGAGCGACCAAAAACAGTAATAGAAATTCAGTGGTCGAATGGTGTGAGAATGCTGAATATTTCCATCTGAACATCAGAGTTCATTATAAGACAAATAGCAAACCATTTTAAACATGCAATGAAATTTTTCAAACTAAAGACAGAAAACCTATATGTAAAAACATACCCTTCAAAATACCACTAATCTACTATTAAAGGGGTCACAAACTCTGAGTGCCTGATCCCTAAAGAGAAAGCAGGAGGTCTGGACTTGTGCACCGTCACTCTCTCTGGGTTACGACTTCCAGGATCTGGTACCACTGTGGACTCCCTTGCAGCAGCGTGTCTGCCCAGCATAGAGAACGCCGGCTGCCTCGGGAGGTAGACACTGGGATCTGTGCGGTTGTATCTACCAGGACCTGGAGTTTTAGATAAGTCCTCAGATGGACCCCCAGATTTGCATCTCCCAGAGATGCTGTAACTAGCACTGGATGCTTTGGTCAAAACATTGGAGCCCATGAGAGAAGGGAGGGTGTATTTGTTAGGGGCAGGTATGGTGTCCACGGAGCGATACTGTGTTCGATAGCCCATGGTGTGGGATGACGGTTTGCAATGGATGCTGCACAGAGAGGCAGGGACTGTATGCTCCTGGTCCAGGGGTGGAGAAGATAGATGCTGCAAATGTCAGATACAACAAGGGTTAGGAACTGTCAAACTCAGTCAACTCATTCCAGTGAAGTGTTTCCTGGTGGTTTCGACATGAAGTAGTTTGATTGACCAGTAAATAAGGAACCGTTTCAACAGAGTGCCACTTCGAAATAACCAACTTACCTTGACTTTCCATCCTGCCATGTATGGAATAGGCAGGGGTGCCGTCTCTTTCAAAGCGAGTCAGTTTGTCATCGATATGATATTTAGGCCCTGGACTACAGTCAATGCTATGCACTGTACAATCAAAGCAGAATAAACAAAGCATTATACAGTGCACAGCATAAATGAGTACACCCCCTCTGAATAAATATAAAAGTTGTATTTTCTTAATGATCATTAATATAATTCATGGAAACATGGCAAAATTGAAACATATTAAACATATACTTAATAAAAACAACAAAATATATGCCAATATTTTCTGTAAGATAAGTAAATTAGCCAATTTTGTTTAAATGAAGGATTGCAGAAATGAGTACACCCTAGATTTAATTCAGAAAATGTATAATATTCTAGTACTTAGTATGTCCTCCAGAACTTAAAGTATACTGCTCTGACCCTTCTTGGCACTGAGTGTACAAGTTCATGACAAATTTTCACATCTGTGCTGTTTAACTCCTGGAGGACGACCTCCTTAAATGCCCTGGTCTTTAATGGGGAGTGTTGCTCAGCTCGTCTCTACAAAATCTCTCACAGCAGCTCAAGAGTGTTAAGATTGAGTGAAATACATGTCCACTGAAGGATGTTCAACTCAGGAGAATGAATATCTTCATTGTCATGTAAAAAAAAAAAAGCACAACAATGCAGGGAATGAGAAGAGGGTAGCATCTTCTGTTTCAAGTTTTTGTATCACATCACACAGTGGTGTGTGAATTCATGACAGCGTTGATAAAGCACAACTCCCTCATACCTTCAGCACTCATTCATCCCTATAGAAGAGCTTTACTACCACTGAACGTCACTGTAGGTACCAAGCACTTCTCTCTGTACTCCTCCTCTAGCAACACCAGAACATTTTGGATGCTGTTAGATCCGAAATGATTGAATTGGTCTCATGAGACCAGAGTATGGATTCCCAGAAGTCTATATTTTGTAAATATGGGCCCTGGAAGAGGTTAAATGAGTTTATTTTGCTTTGGCTACAGTCGGTAGTTCTAGTGGAAAATTACAATACTATATATATATATATATATATATATATATATATAATTAGTGCTGTCAAAATTAGCACATTAGCGCAAGCAATTATTTTTTTCAGTATAATGTGCCAAAAATATTTAACGCAATGGGCTAGTTATAGTGCACAGCATAAATGAGTACACCCCCTCTGAATAAATATAAAAGTTGTATTTTCTTAATGATCATTAATATAATTCATGGAAACATGGCAAAATTGAAACATATTAAACATATACTTAATAAAAACAACAAAATATATGCCAATATTTTCTGTAAGATAAGTAAATTAGCCAATTTTGTTTAAATGAAGGATTGCAGAAAGGAGTACACCCTAGACTTAATTCAGAAAATGTATAATTTATAATATAAATGTATAATCGTGCGCTTTGCTTGGCCATTTGTTGGGATAAACAGGAAAGTGTGTCCAGCTGAATTCAATTTGAGTTTTGTTAAACTAATTAAAAA